TAATCACTTTGGGTCCCATTCACAGTGACAGACTTTTATGTACTTGCATGCAAAGCAATGTGTGTTTTCAGACCAGAGGCAAACAGCCTGCGTATTTTACTTTTAATAGAGAAAGGAAAATCTAATGCACCACTAATTACCAGTTAATTGGATATGGGTGGTTTTTAAGACTATGATAGAGTATTGTGCTTAAAAACCATTATATGACAGGCAAAACATATGGTTCTTATCAGTAGTGTGTACCTTTCTGAACTATTGGAAATTCAGGCATTACAGGTTTCTCTTTGAATACAGTAAACCTAGGGATGGCAAAACTTGAATAAATATATACATCTAATCCTATGCTCCCAAAGGTGTGGAGCTTGTTTTGCTTTTTGAAAACTGTATTCCATTCATAAATTGATGAAAACTGAGTATTTTCCAGATACACAAGAGTGTCAAACAGCATCAAAGATAGAAATAGGTATATGTGGCCCTGCAGCATGGCAGATATACATGTAAAAACATAGTAAGAGTCCTACTGCATTGGACCAGCTATCTAGTCTAATAGTAGCCTGCTTCCTAAGTGGCCAATCAGAAAAGAAAAGCCTGCTGGATCAGGCCAATGGCCCATCTAGTCTAGCATCCTGTACTCACAGTTGGCCAACCAGATGTTTATGGGATGCACGCAAGCAGGACCTGAGCGCAACTGCACTCTGCCTACCTGCGATTCCCAGCAACTGTGGATGTGACTGTGGCTAGTAGCTGCCGATAGCCTTATCCTCCATGAATTTGTTCAATCCCTTTTTTAAAACCCACCAAGTTGGTGGCCATTGCTGCCTCCTGTGGAAGTCCCATAACTGCACTAGAAGGACTTTCATTTATCTGTCCTCAACCTTCCAACATTCAGCATCATTGGATGTCCACAAGTTCTAGTATTGTGAGAGAAGAAGAAAAACCTTTCTCTATCCACTTTTCCCCATGCCGTGCAAAACTTTAGACACCTCTATCATGTTGCCTCTTCCTCACCTTAACTAAAAAGTCCCACATGTTGCAACTTTTTTCCTCACAGGGGAACTTGATCATTTTCCAACTCCAAAATACCCTTTTTGAGGTGAGATGACCAGAAGTGTGAACAGTATTCCAAATGCGGCCACACCATAGATTTGTATAACTGCATTATGACACTGGCATTTCTTTTCAACTCCTTTCCTAATGATCCCTAGCCTGGAATTCACAACGACAAAGTTGCTTAATGGGACTTAAGCTTATCACACAAAGAACTTGTTTATTTAGTTATGACCAACTTTAGCTGAATCTGGGCCAATGAATTTGCAATACAGTGTTTTATGATAGCACTGGTACAAATAGATAATCAGTACTGGCTTAGTCATGCTGGCCACATGACCCAGAAGCTGTACGCCAGTTCCCTCGGCCAATAAAGCAAGATGAGTGCCGCAACCCCAGAGTCAGCTACAACTAGACCTAATGGTCAGGGGTCCCTTTACCTTTACACCATCATATAGCTCAGGCTATAAAGGGGGTCTGCTATATATAGGCCATTTAAACTATTTTAAAACCATTTCTGAATATCATGCTCACCTGCCACAAAACATGCAGTACACGTAGGGGTGCCATATTTCAAAAAGTAAAAACCAGGACACTCCAAAAGTTTTTTTTACAAAAACACCCAAAAAACTGTGATTTTTCAATTGACTTGCCCTAAGATCCAGGACAAAGCGTCACCTTTCAGAAATGCCCACCTTTGAAATCCTGGTAATGTCCAGGAAAATCCGGACGTATGACAGCCCTAAGTACACGTTTATATTTCCACTTTAAGGTCAACGTTAGGCATTTAAAATGTTTTACGATTATTTCTTTGAACACCTGTGAAACCTCCAGTGACAACCATGAAGACAGTTCTAATTGAAACTCATATTTAATATCTGACAAATAAATGATAACTGTGTTTCTTAGACATCAGTGGGAATTTGATTCAGATTTCAAGTTCAGATTTGTGTTTCCATGTTCTGGATTCTAATTTGGAGACACCAAGCATAAGCATCCAAGCTTCCTGTTGCTTACACTTAAAATGGGATCTGTAGAAATATTAGCATTATTGTCTGATTTTAATATATATGAAACCTGGAGCAGTGAGGAGTGCTAAAGCATTGCACGAGCACCTCTCCTCATGCCAGCTTGGTCCTGACAATCCTTCTGTTTGTGCAGGTTTTGCCCGGCAACACCTACACAGATGGGCCTGTCATGCCCCCTGAATGTCTAAATATTCACTTTTGCTTTGACACATGAGCAAGAGACAATAACCAAATGGTTATCTTCCCTCAGCCACCAGCTGTTCACCATTGGCAGCAAAGATGATAGGAGTTATTTGCAGGAGCGTCAGTCCCATTTTTTAACAGTAATATCTGATGATTCCCTATAGAAAATAATTATTCAGGTTTCCATGGCACTTCTCTGCTGCTTTCCATGTGTTTACTTTAAACTCCATGATGAAAAGGTATAGAAGTATCATTTGCTTCTAAGGTTTCAAATGTAAAAGTGTATACATGCAGATGGAAAGCTCAAGCTGGTTCACACTCACGATACTAGATGACTACACCTGCAGTGCTATTGGCAGGTAGGGATCGAAACCAGTTTACAAAGGGATGCTCTGAACAACCCAGAGCCAACAGTTCTGTGGAATTTTTGCTTTACGCAGAACTCCAAAGTCTCTCTCATAAATTATCTTGGGAACATAAGATGCCTAGGAACCCGATGAAGTCCGTGGATCCCTTCACCTCCACTCACTTTCCAGGACAGATCTCCCTACAACTGTTATAAAAATGTATTATAATAAGGAAGTATTTGGGATCTTGTAAGCAGTCCCTCTGCTTTTGGTTTGCATTTGTCTTCCAGACCACCAAAAAAAAGCAGTCACTGAAGTAGGAGCAAAGTGCATAATTCTCTCTTTCGTGTAAACACCATACATTTCAACTGTAGTTTGTTACAGGTGCTGAGAATTGTAGCTCTGCGGCAGGTAAACTACAGTTCCCAGGATTATTCGGGGATGCCCTGGGTTTTAAATGTGCTTCATAAGGTATGTTATATGCACAGCCTATAACTGGATCTGCAGCTTCTTTCCCCAAACACCCACAATGCTATCAAAATGCATTTCAGATGGTGCTCTTGCATTTACTCCTGATAATTAGCAGCAAGGAGGTTGTTAATTAAAGTAGCCTTTAAAATAATTTGTCAATTGTGTTTTGCTTGTGCATCTCAGCAAGGGTTGACACACAAAGCACATTTGCTAGATTTCAGTGAAAAAAAGTTAATTCAAGTAAGTGGATACAGGCTTAAAATGGCAACTTTCCAAACCTAGAAATGATAAATAGAAAAATACTCCATTTAATATATCTAAATCTACTGGTCACTCAATTTTATACTCTACTGTATTGTTTAATGTGACTGATACCAAATTATTAAAACAATAATAAACAAGCTGTCAGGTTTCAATGAGCTATTTATTTTCAGGGAATTGACAGATAAGCAAGAAACGATGCTTTATCACTAATAATAGCCAAGGGTCCTATCTAAATTCCATTAGTTATTTTTTGAAACTGTTCATTACAATATATTACAGAATCCTGAGGTATAAAGATTTGAAGGATTGGCACCTAAAGATTCTCCAAATTACACATCTCAACTGAGTGTTTGAGACTGATGCTGAGGAGTATATTTCTGTACACCAGGGATTGGGAAGTTCAGACCCAGTGACTAAATGCGCCTTTCTATCTTGTTCTCAGGACTCCTCCTTAGCCACACCCCTTGCCTATCCTGCTCTGCATTCTCCTTGAATGCTTTTTCTGGCTGGAATGCATCCTCAAACTCTTATAATGCCTATTCCTTGCCTGGATGGAAGACAGAGAGGGATGTTTCAGTGTGGTTGGGAACAAGCCCACTGTGCAAAGGTAAAATTAACATTCATTGCTCTGCCAACGTTTGCTTCCAGTGCTTCCTACTGACATGTGGGTCCCAAAACATTGCCTAGAAGGGGGTTGCAAATCTTGGGCTGAAAAATCTTCCCTGTCCCTACTGTATGCTGTAGTGCAATAAACAGACAAATCATATTCAACATTATGCCAATTTATGTGGGGCTAGAGGGTCACATGTGCACCCCCCATCCAAATATGTGAACATTTATACAGTAGTACCTCGGGTTAAGTACTTAATTCGTTCTGGAGGTCCGTTCTTAACCTGAAACTGTTCTTAACCTGAAGCACCACTTTAGCTAATGGGGCCTCCTGCTGCCGCTGAACCACCGCACGATTTCTGTTCTCATCCTGAAGCAAAGTTCTTAACCTGAAGCACTATTTCTGGGTTAGCGGAGTCTGTAACCTGAAGCGTATGTAACCTGAAGCATATGTAACCTGAGGTACCACTGTACATCTTTCAAGTGTACCTTTCCCCCCCTCCTAGGTTTCAAGCATGCATATAGCTCTCAGAAAAACTTCCTGCACTACTCCCGGTTAGGAGAAAGGTGGGATTTTGCTATAGGACATCCAAAATGTGAACAGGATAGGTGGTCCCCCTACCCAAAAATGCAAGAACAGGTGATGCAGCCTATGACCAGGGTGACAATAATTTTGCAACTGTAAAATGCTATATATATATGCTAAACATGCTATTGATACAAAGGTGCTAGTAATAAATATTAACTTCATTAGGCTTATGTACTTTATTTGCTGAAACTGTAAACAAACAAACAAATGTTATGTTAAATGGCTTCTCATTGAAAAAGAAACCCATGCAGGCTTTCCAATACACTACAAGCCTATGTGGAAAACATGGTGTTTTGTTTTTAATCTGTCATGGTAAACAAATACCAATTAAGCTAGTCACTTTGTATTAACACAGCACCTATCTCAGTCACTATGCATCAACCTGTGATCATCTGTAATGGTACTCATTAGAAAGGTACGTGCTAAATTTATACTTCAATACAATTTTTTCTCTTCCCTTACCTGCTGCTAAAGTTTGCCCCATTCCCGGCTCACTGCTGACACAGCCAACTTGATTGCAGAGAGTAATGGTAAAATAGTAAATTCTGTATGGTTCCAGTCCTTCCACTGTGTAGGACTGTTCATCAGCTTCAGCAACATACAAAACCTAAAAAGCAAATAGAGTTAAGACAGCTATCTTGATAGCACTTCCATTATTTTACACTGATAAGAAAGTACATTTAACAAAAAGAAATTAGCTTTTGCTGATTTTTAAAAAAACCTTTTTTAACCTTAATACGTTTGCCAAGAGCCATTAGTAGAAACAAGACTTTTTCAAGGAACCTCAAAGAGCTAGAATATAAATTGTAATTGAATATAAACTGTAGTGTCGCAGCTTACACTGATTTTATGCAATCACAGATTTAGCAGATTGTCAATAAATAAACAAATAAACAGAAATGGTTATTTTTACAAAGAGTGAAGACTAAGCATCACACCATTCTGTGATGAAATCTACCAATCCAATCACCATGGAATAAGAGGGATGAATAACAAGTATTTCAAAAAGAAGACTTGTCTCTTGCAAACAGATAAATTTATTAGTATCATCACCAATATTAATTATATATCAGCACTAGTGGGTTTAGCACTAATAAAATGAATTTTCCTTAAGGTAGTTTAAAGGTAAAGGGACCCCTGACCATTAGGTCCAGTCATGACCGACTCTGGGGTTGCGGCGCTCATCTTGCTTTATTGGCTGAGGGAGCCGGCATACAGCTTCCAGGTCATGTGGCCAGCATGAGTAAGCCGCTTCTGGTGAAACAGAGCAACACACGGAAACACCGTTTACCTTCCCGCTGGAGCAGTACCTATTTATCTACTTGCACTTTGATGTGATTTCGAACTGCTAAGTTGGCAGGAGCAGGGACCAAGCAACGGGAGCTCACACCGTCATGGGGATTCGAACTGCCGACCTTCTGATCGGCAAGCCCTAGGCTCTGTGGTTTAACCCACAGCGCCATCCGCGTCCCTCTAAGGTAGTTTACATGGGCATTATTTCAGTGGAACAGTGAAAAGAAGAGGAAGGAAAAATCCACAATAGGGAGGGAGCATTGCAGGGGTCCCTTCACCTTTACTTTATTCCAGCAAGCAGCCCACTCCTGATCTCTTAACAATGGCCAGGAGACTAAGAAATGTTTTGTCTGCACTGGACCTCTTGAGTATCCTTGCAGAATTAAACCATGACTTCATGTATACAAGCCATCAGACATTCCCTTCAGAACAATTTGCCAGGAACAAGCCATGTCCTCTCATACGGAGACACACAAACAGAAAGTCAGCTCCACCCTGGGCAAAATGCCATAGTAACAACTTTGATACTGCACTTTGATAATAGCAAGCACTGCTCCACTGGCAAATTTGAATTTGGCATAGCCAACAAGACTGGGACCACTTTATAACATCCATATATCAATAAGCAGAGAAAACAGATTGCTAATAACAATAATACCTGAGAATACACTGGCAATACTTTTTGTTCAGTAATTAGATTGACGCTGTACCCCATCACTTCTCCTCTTGCTTCATTATCTTGTGGCTTTTCCCAAGATACATTGACAGAATATGGTGAAAGAGGGAATACTGATGGAGGTGGCATGAATACAGGAGCTAAAACACAAATAAATGTGCTAATTTATCATAAAATAAATGAACAACATGTGTCAGGCAAGTTTTCCCACTATATTTGTAAAATACCATCTGTTAAACTTGATAAAATGGCTGTTTGCATCCAATTCCTAAATAAGCAGCTTGTAGAAATTAATTTTCAGGTCTAAAAGGAATTTTCATATGGTTTTCAATGCTACAAATTTAAAGTAAATGTATCCCACCTATAGGCAAAGTATGGGATCTATTATTTTTATGGTGCACTAACCACCACTTAAAATTTGAAACACAATATAAGTTTCACAGAATAATGCAGATGGATTTTTAAAAGCACAGCCATTCTGCGACCCAGGAAAACCCTGATTAGAGGAAAAATTGTTGAACACTTAAACACTGTCAAAGTAAATTTAATTGCTGAGCAGTTTTGAAATCAACATGTTTCTCTTGTATTATAATAGCTGGTATTTCAGAGATGTTTAATTATGTCATATTTGACTGCTGCAGGATAAGCCTCCATTTTTCAAGACCTATAGGCACTGTAAAATGGTTGTCTTTTGGAAAATACCATTTACAAATCCATCCACAGCAAAAATGCTGGGTTTTTAAAAGTTAACAGCCCAATCCACACTCCTTGGCTTTCAGCCATTTATTCATACGTTAAGTTCCAGCTGAGGGAAATCAATGGGGCTTGTGTTCAACTGCAATGTCTTTGGGATTGAGATACCTACATGGTTGACTTGAGTTAGACTATTGTTATGATCTTTTTTAACCAAATGATTCTGAGAGTCAATTTAATGGAAATAGGTAGGGTTTACTTCCAAGTAAGTAAATATGGGACTCAAATGTTCATTTAAATGTAGCATAACAAGGTATAAATCACTCTTGTCCAACATAGTGGAAGACTTCCTATCTGTTTAGCAGATAAAATTAAGTGAAAGAGAAATCATTGGCTAGAAAGTAATGTACAATTATAAACAACCAGCTAATTCAATATGACAACTCTTAAAATAAAATTATGCTTATGAACCGTTCTTAATTAGTTATAATTAACTGGATTGAACCTGGACATCAACCACATCCACCAATTTCATGAAAATAGGATCAGAGACCGCAAATGTTTTTAAACATGTTTTCAAATCAACCCATGAAAAAATAAGACTTCAAAGTAAGGGCCTAATCCAGACAAAGTTACATCTTTTTCAGTTACAACGAGTTCAATGGAGAGTGGGTCTTTAATTTAAATGCAGCAGCATAAGCCTAGGGGTAGACATTATGACACCCCATGTATGTATCCCATCAAAGCAGAAAACCCACAGGTCATCCACTATCACAAACTACATGTGAAATTTTTACGTACCTATTCAACCTGCTGCTGGCAGAAATGGGGGGAAAATACGCAAAACAATGATGCCATTTTATGTGTTTCGTTTGAGTAGAATTTACTGTGGCAGAGGGGTAGGGTTAACTTTTGGCAGCAGCTATACATGTTCTATAACATCTACTTCCAGAATTCATTTGTGGACTGTCAATGATCATCATAAAGCTCACTCTGACACGAAGGTAATATGTGATAAATGTGACAAAATAAAATGAAGACATACTGCTGGTATACTGTCTTAAAAAGGTAAAGGTAAAGGTACCCCTGCCCGTACGGGCCAGTCTTGACAGACTCTAGGGTTGTGCGCCCATCTCACTTAAGAGGCCAGGGGCCAGCGCTGTCCGGAGACACTTCCGGGTCACGTGGCCAGCGTGACAAAGCTGCATCTGGCGAGCCAGCACAGCACACGGAAACGCCGTTTACCTTCCGGCCAGTAAGCGGTCCCTATTTATCTACTTGCACCCGGGGGTGCTTTCGAACTGCTAGGTTGGCAGACACTGGGACCGAGCAACGGGAGCGCACCCCGCCGCGGGGATTCGAACCACGACCTTTCGATCGGCAAGCCCTAGGCGCTGAGGCTTTTACCCACAGCACCACCCACGTCCCTGGTATACTGTCTTAAGACTCTGTAAATAAGACTACTCTAAATGTAGTATAGTTTAAGCACAGTTATTATGAGGAAATACTAGTGAATTTAAATTGTTAAGAAGATGGCAAAGAATCCTATAATAGCTCTTATAAGGTGAAACTTAAATGAACAAGCAATGTCAAGGAGTAAGGTTCGAAAGGCATATTCCGAAAGAAAAATCTAAGTCTTGAAAATGAGTTTACAACGGTTAACAATTACCTGCCTCTGCTGTTCTCTGTGACGTCCAACGAGAAAATGTGCTGCCGGCCATATTGACTGATAAAACACGGAACTCATATACTGTGAACGGCTCCAAATCAGTGATGTTGGTGCTAGTAAGAGGTGGTTTCAAAGCATTCTCATTGGCAGATTCTATCACTGGGTGAGGACTGAACCACCCACTTGTTTCAAAAACACGATTTTCAGGAGGAATATGTGTTCCATCCGACTGTCGGGTTCCTCTCATATATAGTTCATATCTAATAATTATACCTAGAAATAACAGTGGTTTACCAAAGATATGTCAGCCGGAAAGGATCTAAAATACTTCTGTTTCTAGTACCACCTACTGGTAGAAACATTGTCCACTGATAGCACTGTATAAATACAACTACAACCATAATACATTGCAAAACCTGCCCTCCCACAGGCTTTAGGAATTTAATTCGTATGGATTCTGATAGACTCTTCCAATTGCACTTCGAATTTTGTGATGTAGTTTTCATCTCAAAGCAACATGTTTAAGAGAAATTTTGTTTAAGAATACTTGCATTAGGAGTGGGAAACCTTAGTCCCAGAAGTAAATGTCAAACCACCAAACACTCTGCTTATCTCTGTGGTCCTTGGTACTATACCCTTCACAGGTGGTGCTGTGGTCTAAAACACTGAGCCTCTTGGGCTTGCTGATTGGAAAGTTGGCAGTTCAAATTCGCATGACGGCCCAGCTTCTGCCCTAGCAGTTCAAAAGCTTGCCGGGGCAAGTAGATAAATAGGTACCACTGCAGCAGGAAAGTGTTTCCGTGAGCTCATGGCACTTCTCACGGTTCCTCCATGTGCCAGTAGCAATTTAGTCATGCTGGCCACATGACCCAGAAAGCTGTCTGTGGACAAATGCTGGCTCCCTTGGCCTGAAAATTGAGATAAGCACCATACTGAAGGAGCGTCTCCACCCCCATCGTTCTACCCGGACACTGAGGTCCAGCACCGAGGGCCTTCTGGTGGTTCCCTCACTGCGAGAAGCCACGTTACAGGGAACCAGGCAGAGGGCCTTCTCGGTAGTGGCGCCTTCCCTGTGGAACACCCTCCCACCAGATGTCAAAGAGAACAACAACTACCAGGCTTTTAGAAGACATCTGAAGGCAGCCCTGTTTCGGGAAGCTTTTAATGTTTGATGTATTATAGTATTTTAATATTCTTTTGGAAGCCACCCAGAGTGGCTGGGGAAGCCCAGACAGATGGGCGGGGTATAAATAATAAATTATTATTATTATTATTATTATTATTATTATTATTATTATTACCCCATAGTCACCTTTGACTAGACTTAACCATCCAGGGGCCCTTTACCATTACCTACCCCTCACCAGCCCTGCCTACTTCTCCTGGGGAGAAAAAGGTTGTGCCCAGTAAAAATAATATTTTTTAAAATGCACTTATATGAGCAAAACATGTTGTACCTACTTAAGGAAAGAGAAATAGAATCCTACCATTTGCTTTTTTGGGTGGGTTCCATTCTATAGCCAGTGACGTAGAGTTGACAGTTTGTACAACCGGAGGATGCTGCTCTTCAGGTGGGGCCTGTGCAGTAACTATTGCCACCTCCTTGCTCTGCAAACAGCCTCCACGGGTACACGCTTGAACATAAAAGCTGTATTTTGTAAATGGAATCAGATTCCAGGCAGTTGTTGAGGTTTCTAAGCCTTCATACTGGTCACAGGCCTGAAGGTCAGGTAAAGAAGTGCATGTCAATACATATTTCTCTATTGGACCAGAGTCGTTTGATAGGCTTGTCCAGCTGAATGAAACAGAGTGTGGTCCAACAGGAAGAACTGGGTTTAAATGCAAGTTTCCTACAGGTATCCCAGGCTGTGTTCTGTATGTCAAGGCTGCACTGCTTGTAGATCCATGGACATTGCTGGCCTCAAGGTGATATGAATAGAAGGAATAGGGAGATAGAGAGGTATCTGTGAAAATCTGGATGCCTACAATATAAACATAAAAAGTTATATTTCAGTTGTCAGATCCCAAGGAGCCACATGTAAATTTCTCATTTTTTAAAAAAAAATTTTAAACCTGCAGTAGAATGGATACTTTGTAATTACCAATGGGCCTTCCCCAACAATGCTTTCCGCTGCTGCTGGTAAACTTGAATAAAATATTCCTTGCTTTAGTAAAGTCTCAATAAATTTAATTTCATTAATAAACAGTAAATGTTGTTTTTGCATTATTTTATGTATTAAATAGCTTCACCATTTAAGAATGTGTTATCTGAAAGCATCAGAATTACAGAAGAAAAAGAATGGTTTTTTTCTCTCCATCTATTGCCTGTTCCTTCCTTCTAAAAGAACTCTCAAAATCATTTCACATTAATGTTGCAAAGCCATCAGTCAAATAATCAGGCCCGGTTTGGAGACTACTGTTAATTTTCCTTGAAAAGTTCAATGCTTCTACATTTGTAATTTGAAACTCTCATTTAGTACTAAGACCTGTATGCACGCTGTTGCACTTAGGTGGTGTCCCCTGTGTGTCTTACAGATGCTACACACATACTAAGAATATAGTCATAAACATAAGAATCTGGCAGCATTAACAAATTTATCTTAGTATTCAAATGCCAAACAGTAGATTATATTCACATCATTAATTATCATGATTGTCAGGAAATGTCAGAATGGTAATATTTTTTTTAAGGAACAGTTGTGGCTTTAGAAAATAATGATTTGTTGAACAAGCCTTTATCAGTCTCTGATTAGGAAACCAGTAGTTAGTTAATGTTTTAAGAGCAGCTGCTCATCGATGTTAATATGATTTCGAAATGGCATCAGCACACTATTCTAGAAGGATTGCTCCATTCAATTCCAAGAATATAGCAGGGACTTTAGTAAACCTCTCGGATATACATTTGAATTGCTAAACACTCTTGTTAGGATATGAAAGATGTAAAGCATAATTTATCCCAGAATATTTCAGTAAGATAGTGTACGTACATAGAAAAGTGTCAGAATCTGAACTTGAAGCAAGTACTAAACTTAGGACTTCAGCAGCTGGAGGACCAGGACTCATTCTGTGCACTACTACCAATCTCTAGGCAATAAAAAGAGTAATGCAAGCATATGACAGCCAAAATAGGCTGGAGACACTTGGGTTTAAATCCCTGTTCAGCTATGAAGTTCATGGGGTGATTCTGGATCAGTCGGTCTCTTAGCCTGACCTCCCTCACATGACTTTACACTTGTGATTTCAAGGATACTTGACTTCTTTTGGAGGACAGATAAACATGTGATATAGATATAAGCGACTAGATCAAATCTACCCACATAATGTTTTCCCTCTGAAACCTAGCACAGACCCAATTCAAATGACCACTACACAGACTATTATACAACTTAAGACACTTTTCTCAAGGTGAGGGGATAGCAAACGTCTCTTCAACCCCCTCCCCTCCAGTATGATGAGCAAGAAAGGATGTGGTGAAGCCTTTAATTTATTTAATATCCCTTCTCCTGCACAAGCAAGACACAAGGACATAGGAGTGAGTAACTGAGGTGCTTAAGAAGAAGTCGCTGCCATGCCACAGAATCTTTTGCCATTCACATGGCGGGTGGTGGTGGTTAAAGAGACCACTTTTCCTGTTCCTGGGTATAGATGAAAGTGAGTCAGTAAGGGGAGTTAAATTTGTTGGATTTGCTCATCTGAAAATATGGCTGCTGACCAGGAAATGGTAAAATCACTTGATACCAGAGCTAAACTGACTGCCTACAGAAAGCAAGGCTTGTAAGCAAGTCTTGGATGGAGTACCAGTGGGCCCTAATGTTATTAGAAGATATCACTATCTGGACAGGGATAGCCTAACTTCTCTCCTCTATGCTCAGGTAACATCTAGGTTATACTTAGGGCTGCCTCTGAAGACAATTCAGAAACTTCAGCTAGTGCAGAATTTGGTAGTCAGGTTGCTCAACAGGTCAAGACGGTTTGAGCATCTTAACTGATCCTGGCCCGACTGCACTGGCTGTCAATTAGTTTCCGGGCTAATGCAAAGCACTGCTTTTGACCTATAAACCTTAAACGGCTCAGGGCCACAATAACTCAAGGATGGCCTTCCTCCATTTGAACGGAACTGGATCCTATGATCATCATCTGATGCCCTTCTTTGTGTGCCTCCCCCGTGAGAAGTCTGGAGGATGGCAACACAAGAACAGGCTTTTTCTGTGGTGGCTTCCCATTTGTGGAATGCTCTCCCCAGGGAGGCTCTCCTTCATCATTCACTCACAGAATCATAGCCTAGTAGAGTTGGAAGGCACCACGAAGGTTTCACCAGCAATGCAGGAATCTTTTGCCCAGTGTTCTGCTCGAACCCACAACCCTGTGATTAAGAGTCTCATCCTCTATTGAGTCATCCCAGCTGTCATTACATATTTTTAGGCTCCAGGTGAAAAAATATTATCTATAACCAGGACTTTGGCTGATTCTATGGCCTTTAAATATGTTTTTTTTTGGGGGGGGGTTGGTTTATTTTTTATTTTTTTATTATGTATTTTATGTTCTCATTTTGTATTTTTATGCTGTGAACTGCCCTCTGTTCTTCAGATGAAGGGTGGTATACAAATTCAAATGCATACATACATACAGTGAAATATACATAGGTAGTATTCATGAGCACTCACGGTAAGGGTAGTTATCCTCTGTCATATAGATTTGACTCCCATTTCTATATAGCCTATACACAAGCCAGTTTGAATTTGGAGAATCGGGTGGATTCCAAACAAGTCTGATAGCAGAAGAATTTACAACTTCTCCTCCTGGCGGCGGTTGCTGAGAAGGAGCTGGATTACAATGCAATAAAAGCCATATTTAGGCATCAAGACAACCAAACTTCGTAAGCAGAAGTGCATTTAAAAAAAGAAAAGAAAGTTTCTTCTAGCAGAGGAAAATGATATGAAGCAGAAGAGCTGTGTTTCACCAGTAAAATCTTAAGAAAAGCCAAAACAAAGCAGCCAGCCAGCCAGCATACATTGGAAACCACTATGCAAGACATCTAAAATAGCATAATTCTGCCTAAAGAACCACTTTCAGTGTGCTTTGGCTGAAAATCTGCACAATGCACACATACAGAGCAAACACAGCAAACATACAGATGCAGAGACATCTGAAAGGTGTAAATAGATCCCTTGCTTCATGCTGCCTCTCCACTCCCATCCTAATTCTGGTCTTTTTCTATGTATTCCCTGCAGACACGCACAAGCTTGTTTTCCCTTCAGATGTCTGTTTATGTAAGCTGCTTATGGAGAAACTGACACAGACTCAATACAGATGACCAACTTACTCAGTTGAAAGATATTCTACTATGACTTTTATTATTTCCCCATATTAATGAAAATGTGGTGGGCTTTTCTCCCTGCCAAATGTTCTAATGAGCGATGAACACTGAGGGCCTCATCAAGTTATAAGGCTTCCCCACAAAAATTCACCACAGTAACAGTACTCTTCAGCATGTGACAATGGCTGGGGAAGATATTTCCTCAAGCCATAGGAGTCAACTCAAAACCTGGTGTCAGCTAGTTTTTTTGGACTACAACTCCCATGATCCCTTGCCATTGGCCATAATAGCTGAGACTGGTGGGAGTTGCAGTCCAAAATCCCCAAAGAGGCCCAAACTATAGAGGATTGCTGTACTGTCTTTTAAAAAAAGAAACATCTTGCCTTTTCTGCTTTCTTCCCTTAGATGTCAGATTTTAAATCTTAATTCCTATTCTGAGCTTTGCTAATATATTTTGAAGCATTATCAGGCTTGTGAGATATTTTACATTTTAAATATCTTAAATATTTATTTAAGTTTTAATATCTACATGAACACCCTTTAATGTATGAATAAAACTCCTCACTTGCAGACTTAGAAAATTGGTTGTGTATTGCTGGAATATAGTGAGCATGAAAAAGAAGGAAGAAATATACATAGAGGTGATGTCATGTTCCCACAATAAATGATTATTTAAATAATAAATTTAACCCCATAAGGGCCAGATAACTACAGTATGTTTCAGGGTTTTGTTTTTAAGTGAGAAACTGTAGTCATACCTTGTGGTTCCTTGTGTTGTATGATGAAGGGACAGTGTGGGGTATGTGTACATATATTGATCTTGATTTTAAGGTGTGAAATTACGCACAATACACTTCACGGTCTTAAAAGCAACACAGCAGAGAATTTTACAGGCTTAAAAGCAATGCAGTTTTCTTTTTAAAAAGCCAGAAAAATTTTCCTAAGAGAAACAAAACAACTCCAAAGAGAGGAGAGAAATGTTTTATTGACCCATTTGAAACAACACTTTGAAACTATTATCACAATGAATAAAATTTTAAGACTGTGAGAACATATTAACCCTTCTACTTCCTTAAATGTAGAACCTGGAAGTAGTGAGAAGAAAACACTGAAGCAATGAATGGAGACAGAGAACTTCCATGTTGTGTGAATATATAAAAATAAAATTTTGATGATATACAATTTCCAGGCTCTTTATATTAAAAAAAGAACTTTACTTTCATAAATATATAACTTAGAAGAATATCTGATGCACCCATGATATTGCTTGTATGAGTTGAAAAAAATCTTTGCTGCCACCTGTAATCAGGCTCCTCATTCCACTAACTGTCATGTGTCACCATCCTGGGTAGCATGGATTTTCTAGACTAACAGCTTTTGGTTCCTCCTCTGTTGAACTGCTTTTCAATCTAGCTGGTTATTACAATAATATTTTGACTAAGAAGAACTAATGCCTGGGTTTGCTTTTTTCCTCATCCCTGTTAATCCCTTTTCCTTTTGTGTTATGCCTTTTTAATTGTAAGCCTGAGGGAGAGCAACAGTCTTATTACAGATCTTTGTAAGGTATTCTGGGAGCCTCTTTTGCCTGAAGAGCAAGGTAAAAATCCTTCAAATAAATATAGAAATGAGTATGTTGGTCTCTTTTAAATGCAACAGGGAAGGAAAACACCAGGGTATATTAAGTAATGTAGAGACTCACAAGGTAGCATGTGTTTTGCTCCTGTCCATTACAAATAACTGTCCCTAAAGATTAGGTATTATAAATAGAGCCTTGCAATTGGTAGCAATTATACTAGCAAAGTCAAGTTAAAATTGCTAGAGAGAATACACTGGTAGCTATTGGAGGAAAGGAGATTGTGTTAGAAGGAAATGATTATTGTGCTCTTATTACTAAGTTTCATTGCTTCCACAGATGTACATTAGAACCATAAAGTTAAAGAAACAACTGATTTTGAAACATTATGGGCTTTCTATATTTCACTCAGCAAATGTTACTGTTGTCTATACTCACAAATGGAGAAATATTTTTGTTTTTAAATATATATCATGATATCTTTTGCAGAATTTAATTTTATTACTTATCTTAAATTATGCTACATAATTTATAGTGCAGTCCTAAAATGTATTATCAGAAGTAAAGTCCACCTGCCTTTAATGAATTCCATGGGACTTACTCTCAGGGAAGTGAATATAGGATTGCAGCTTCAAGACACAATCCAACAAGACCTTTTCCTGAATAAGCTCCTTTGAAATGAATGGGAGCCCTGGCCATTTCAGAAGGGGTTCTGCCATTAAATTCTGTGATAAAGGTCTTACACTGTGTTTAAAACATTGGGGTTGAAACTGGTTTTATATGCGCAGTAGTTTTTGTTTTTTCATAGGTAATAAGTTTTTTTATTGTTTTTATATATGTGATTGTTTCTATATGTTCTTATTGCACTGTACATCGCTATGAGATGCCTCATAGGAAATTATTAGTAAATTTAATAAATTAATAAAATATGCCCAGGCTGGGACCTGGTAAAGCCCCCTATGGAATTTAGTAGATGTTGTAAGGTAAACTGCTTCGTTGTGGACCATTAACCCTCTTAAGGCATTACAGCTCCTACTTTTCTCTACACAGGAGCTGTGGGCAGGAATTCACTGAGTAGCCTTACCCGCTGGTGTTTATGCAAAAAGCACAAACATCTGTAGCAGCCCACACATACAAACAACAGCTTCCAAACAACCAGGAACCTTGATTTCCCAACGTTCAGGATGTCATGGAAGCCTTCAAACATACAAGCTGTACATGTGACATCATCAACATTTGATTTATTACCTGCCCTTCACCAACAAGTCCCAGGGCAGGTTATAACAATTTAAAATTCAATATTAAAAACAGCTAAAGCAGATTGCAATAACACCCATCTCAGGTGTCAAAGCCCAGGGTAAAGAGGTGCATCTTCAGAATTTACTGAAAGCTGCATAGTGAAGAAGCCAGATGCACTTCTTTCAGGAGGGAATTCCGCAACTTAGGGACTGCCACAAAAATGCCGTCTCCCAGGCCGCAACAACCTGGAAAGGTGGAACTTAAAACCCCGGAGGGTCTGTAGGGAAGGAAGTGGTATTGGAGTCCTAAGTCATTTAGGAGCTTAAATACATGAGCACCTTGAATCGGCAGCCAGTACTGTACAGTTGTTTCAGAACACGGTTCTATGAGTTTCAAAGTCAACTGCAGCCATTAATGTGGTCCCTGTATTCTGGGCCAGTTGAAGTTTCCAAGCTGTCCTCAAGGGCAGCGCCACACAGAGTGTATTGCAGTCTGGAAGTTACCAGAGCATGGAGTACCATGGCCAAGTCATTTCTACCCAAAAGGGACCATAGCGGGTGACCTTGCCATAGCTGGAAATGGGCACTCTGAGTCACCAAGGCCAATTGGGATTCAAGACATAATGTTCATGAGACAACACGTTTCATCACGATAAATGTTTGTGCCTTTTGTGCAGGCACCAGGGGATGTGGCTTCTTAATGCATCCTCCCTCCCATATAGAGAAATCTGGGACGTACAATGCCTTAGGAGGACTTCTGTTAAATGTAGGGATCCCAATAAAGCTCAAGAAGGGGAGGTTTTCAGAGTAAGTCATTTTCCAACACAAGTTACAGTATGTCTAGAAAACTGGAGCATCAATATAATTTCCTTCCTTTCATTGATACGAAAATCCATGCTGCCTTTGATGCAAAGTATCATGTGATGCCTCTTAAGTACCAAAACATAATATTTCTCCTAATATATTAATGAGGAGGGTGTTCAGGTTGTGAGTAGCAGCTATTTTGAGTGTTACACTAATACTAACAATCAGCAAACCAGTTAATTTGAAAGATTTGCTCTTACGACCAACAACCACTTACTTTTACTGCAGCCAAATAGGTTGTGGACGTCCAAATTACTAGCACTGGGAACACAGTTGTCACATTTTGAGCCAGTTACAAATGGTTTGCACACACATTGTCCGGTAATAGGATGACAAGTTCCATTAATGGCTCCTGCAGGATGACAATTACAACGCTGACATCTATAAACAAAAACAAATCAAGAAAGTAATGAAAGCACATTAACACTTCAGTTAGATATAGCAGGGCTTAATTCCGTGGCTTTTTTCAGACACATAATTAAGCATTGCAGATGAAGAACCTTAGAAACTGGTCTGTAGTAGAAAAAGTAAAAACTCCAACCCATTTATATAAAAAGGTTCCATTCACAATCAAGTATGGTGTTTCTTTTACTTATGACCTAGACTTCTAGAACAACAGTAATGCCCTCCAATTGTTGGGGGACAATTCATCCCTTGCTAAAGTGACAGGGGAATATCTGTTCCTTTAGGGAGGGGAGAGTTTACTTGTGCTGAACATTTTGGAGGAGGGAAGGTTTGGCACGCGTTATTTATGCAAGAGGTGTTTTCTTAACTTCCAAAAAAAGAGGCTCAGTTAAGTTCCATTAGTAAAAAAGAAAGGTCTGCTCTTATGGGAAGCCTAAGGAAACCTCTGACTGTCTAAGACAGTCATTCCCAAGTGTATTGAGGACACATTTTCAAACTGGATGGCAGTAGAGCCTCTGTACCTTATGGAAGCTGGCTTCTTCGAGTGGTCTGCTTGGCTTTGTTTACAATTTATATGCTAAAAGGAAACTGTGGCGCAGTCGCCCTGATGGCCTGTATCATGGCCTAGGTGAGAGTGCAAACAAATAACTGAGACACGTATAAGTGAAAATTAGCCACAACTTTCTTGACTAACAGACACAGGCAGGATTGGCAATACCTTGATTTAGTTCTAGATAACCCTTTCTACTTTTATTTTATCTGGCGTCTGTTATTGTATTTTTTAATCTTTTATTATAAATAAAAGCATATGGAAAAATAAAGAAGGCAATCCCATGTACAGCATAGCTGATTACTGCCTAGAGCCAAGCCCTCTCTCAAGAAGACACTAACTACTTCCTGAACTCAGCTGGGACATAAGGCACAGAGGTGGAGAATACAAGTGACAGCTGGACTTGACCAACTACCTTGTCCATATCCTCAAGCTTCAGCAACTGGAAGATCTACAGGTATAGGGTGGCATACGAATTTAATAAATAATAATAATAATAAAGCTGGATAAGACTGTGCTCTGGACAATGGACACCTTCACTAGTGACAATGTATTAACTAGCAGATGGAAATAACATTATGATCAAAGCATCTTGCAAAAATGCCAAAGAGAACTACTGGGGATTCCACCATATATCCCCCAGGTCAGAATGCAGAAGACTACTTGGAAAATCTGTGTTAGGCAACACTGAGAGGATTCAATGGTTCAGGAGAAAAAGACACCCTCATCACTGCTACAGAGTAGGTTCAATAGCAAACTGTAACCTGTGTTCTGGTCAAACAGGTTGTGCAGGTTTTGAGGAAGCTTCAAAACCTGTGTTACCAGAGAAGATACTGAGATTTTTTAACGTAGTGTACATTATGAGTCATGATCCAGCCTTCTTAAAATATATATTATCTATCTTCATGCTAACAGTTCAAATGAAATTTTAGAGACTACTGTTTTTGCTATTTTTTTTAATCAAGCAACTCTTGTTTGAAATAAAATATGTAAGGTTGCTTAAACTGAATTTGCAAAAACTGTTCACATGCATTTGACAATTGCATCTCTCTCCTTTTAGCAAAAGAATTTCTTCAGTAACTCTTGCTGTGTGATCTCCTGAGTTCAACACCCTTTAAAAGACTGATAAAAGCTAAGGCTGCAAAATAAGCTGCAAATTTGTGTTGTGGAATAATATTCCTTTGGGAATAAATAAAAAAATTCCCTTGGAAACTATAATACTGCATTTCCCCCTTTTATAATCAAGAGCAAAGGGTATTTCCCACCAAACTGCATTAAGTGTTTTCAACCACAGATTGCATACAATTCCCCAGTCAAACAGAGTTTCTGTTTAGACTATTAAATGTCATCATACGTGTAGACAAGTATATAGAAACTGAGAGAGCTGCTATATGCTCAGCAGTTCAATATTTAGTACTTTATAATTTTATATTGATACTTAGCTTCTACCCTTTTTGGAAGAGTTTAAGGGGTCTCAAAAAGTATATTTTTCTGTATATAAAAAGATTATCCCAAATATTTTATCTTCTGGAGGTCCTTAATATCAGCCCCTGAGAATTTCAGTTTCTGTGATTCACGCATGACTCATTTTACACCAGAATAATATATGATTTATGTAACATGCTATGCAAACATTATTGTTTCTTTATTTCTACTTAAATTCTTATAACAGTCCTGTAAAATACAGTCATACCTCATGTTACAGACACTTCAGGTTATGTCTTTTCAGGTTGTGTCCTGCTGCGACCTGGAAGTACTGGAAAGGGTTCCTTCCGGGTTTCGCCGCTTGCACATGCGCAGAAGCGCTAAAATCGCGCTTTGTGCATGCGTACAAGCGCCAAATCACGCCGCTCACCTGTGCAGATACGGCGCTTCAGGTTGTGCTCTTTTCAGGTTGCGAATGGGCCTCCGGAACGGATCCCGTTCACAACCAGAGGTACCACTGTAGATGGATTATCACCCTTCTATTACAGCTAGGAGCCAAGAGTGAGAGATTACAGCTTGCTTACATACTACAGTTAAGTGTTCTTAAGTAACACGCTTAAAATGGTGCAATGGTGATTTTCAATGAGTTAAACACTCCTACCTACACTACAGTCCCACTCCCGATTGGCACTCGCTCCCCACCACCATTGGCCAACTACTTCTGAGCATCAAATTTTAAGGGTTGTATCCAATGAAGTCATTAATTCATGCAAGGACTTCCATTTCTTTAATGGGCCCCCAGATCTGTGATATGGTTCCCCCCAATCTCTGATCCTTCTTTTTTAAAAAACAAAAACCCTCTGGAGCTATCTAGCACTCCACAATCATTCTCCTGGCCAGGTACACTTTTTGAAAAGCCCACTGGTGGGTGTCAATGTGTTATGCCCCAAGCATGGGGACTGATGCAATAATGCTGTAAAAATTGCTTCGCTTAACACCAAACCTCTTTAGCAGGCTGTTTCTTTTCACTCCTGTATTTGAATGACTGGGAGGAAAAAAGGTTGGAAATACCAGCCCAGTGCTGTGGGGATGATTAGGGAGGCAGGAGAGGATATATTATTTAATGATATCCTTCCTAACATGCGCAAGCAAGTTCCATTTTCTAGCAGAGTTCCAAACTTCCTCCTTTTTAAATTACACAGCGATCAGCTGGTTACTGACTCATCTGACTCTTTCTATTAAAGATTCCTTCCTGGTAAAATCCCTTCTAATCCCTCTTAAAAAGGAATAAACACAATAATCTGATTAACGTTAATATAAAAGTAGTTTACTCACAGATTTGTTCAGGTTCACAGACATATCCCTGAAGGCAGGCTTAGGTTACATAACAACTAGAACTATTCCATAAAGAAGTTAGTCCCAAGTGACTGCGACTAAGCAATCACTTCTCCAAACACAAAGCAACATACAAAATGGAGAACACACACACTGATCAGAACACGGAGGCCGTGTGCTCCTCCATGCTAGTACAACAAACCACATCTTCTTCAAGTCACATGTAGTGGAAGTCTGTCCCAGCTCAGGAGGAAACAGGAAGTCTTCTCCTAGGGGTACAAAACATCCCCTAGCATGTCCACTGTAGGAATGTTGTACCTGACTGCAGTTTTACATCCCACAAGTGCTAGTAGGTCTGTTCACATATTTATTGACGATGATGACAATATTGGAGTTCTTACCTACCCTTCAACATAAAGTCCCAAGGCAAGTTGCCCCAAGATTAAAACATAGAAGGCAAATCAGTTAAAACAATTCACAATCAGACTATGGTGGGTCAACACATAGTGCCAAGGGCCAGAATTACTCGCAAGTAGAAAGCATGCATGTTGAGGAGTATTAGGGCCACTTATCTCCCTTCCCAAAGCTGTGTTTCTTCTGTGCCCACTGTTGCTGTTGTCATGCTCAGCATCATATTTGTAGTGGAGATCTTTCTCCTCTGTGCTTTAAAGACCTCTTTCAACAAGCTTTCCCTTTAGCTACAACACATGAAGAGGGCCAATATCTTCTCCCCAAGTTAAAGTGGACCCCTATCCTTGGCTGGGCGATGGCTCTTCCCACCATCACATGACTGTTTTCAATGCTGGGTAAAGACAAGACTACAGTAGGGGCTAATCAGAATAGAGAGCTGCTCTGAACTTCATTTAACAAGTTGATAGACTTGTTTGGCAGTCCTTTTGCTCTCAAGCTGGGAGCTGCTCTGATCTGTGCCCTGGGGATTCTGTCCACAGGGATTCCACAGCTTACTTAGAAATTAGACTGGGGTGGGGTTCACACCTCTTAGTTGTGTGTGTTTTTTGTCCAGGACATGGACAAAAGCATAAAGAATTTTCCCATGTGACTTGCTTAGCCGTTTGATGAGCATATGTCCTCACCAAACACACATAATTTTGAAGAAGAAAAAATTGTCCAGTAGCACCTTAGAAACCAACTAAGTTTGTTCTGGGTATAAGCTTTCGTGGTCTCTAAGGTGCTACTGAACAATTTTTTTATTTATTTTGACTGCGTCAGACCAACACGGCTATCTACCTGAATCTATAATTTTGAAAAGACAACTTTAACAAGTCAACTCCACTCTGCAATGAACACTCACCTCCCAGCTTCAGAGTCAAATCCATAATAGTAGTCCCTGCAGTGGTCACATCTCTTCCCAGCTACAGAAGAATCTTGGCAAATGCACTGGCCAGTGAGACTGTTGCAAACCTCTTCTACTGAACCAGTTGGGTGGCATAAACAGGGAATGCAACCATTAATACCACGCAGAGAAGCATAAAATCCTGATAAAGAAGAAACAATGGTGTGAAAATAAGACCACTGTCATCTGAGAAGGAAAATGATGTAAAACAGCATTATGAGCACTGATTTTCTTTTTTATGCTGTAATTATAATGTTTATCTTATTCTTCGGTTGCTAGTTTGTTAATAGAATTTTATAGATTGTAATTGTTTTCCTGATGATTTATTAATTATGTTATATGATTTATGCTGTACTTGAGATGTTCTGTTATCATTATTTATTGTTTGTAAGCCGCTTTGGGATTCATTTGAATGGAAAGCTCCATAAAAATACAATCAATAAACTAAGTTCTATCCAGAGTAGACCCTAATAAATGGATATGAGATAGTTATGTCTATTAATTTCAGTGGGTGGTATTGAACTAAATTTTACTCAGAGCACACTCATTGAAATTAATGGACCTAACTTAGTTGTGTTCTTTAATTCCAGTGGCTCTACCCTGAGTGAAACTTAGTTGAATACCACTCTGGATAGGACTAATATTGGATAAAACCCCATATTTCTGAGCCAGCAAAAACAGAGCAGTAATGTAAATGAGATACAAGTCCTTTAGTGTAGTAGAAATGAAATATCTAAAAGCGCAATAATATTCACATGTTTATTGTTGTTGTTTACACAAACATGTACGGAGGTCATAGCAAATCCCATAGCAAGCATAAACAGTTTGCTCTCTGTGGTTTTTGCTGTCAATTGACCATTAGAAAAAAAGAAAGAAAGCTAAAGTAGAATAAATCCCTGCCTTTCCTTATCAAGGACAAAGGTGATTTACTATCCCAGGAAGTCCTGACATAATTTCTCTGCATTGCCCAGCCTGCTCTCTGATTAAATGCCTGCTTCTGAGGGTCGGGACATGGGACACGGGTGGCGCTGTGGGTTAAACCACAGAGCCTAGGACTTGCCGATCAGAAGGTCGGCGGTTCGAATCCCCACGACGGGGTGAGCTCCTGTTGCTCAGTCCCTGCTCCTGCCAACCTAGCAGTTCGAAAGCATGTCAAAAGTGCAAGTAGACAAATAGGTACCGCTCCGGCAGGAAGGTAAACGGCGTTTCTGTGCGCTGCTCTGGTTCGCCAGAAGCGGCTTAGTTATGCTGGTCACATGACCCGGAAGCTGTACACCGGCTCCCCCAGCTAATAAAGCGAGATGAGCGCCGCAACCCCAGAGTCGGCCACGACTGGACCTAATGGCCAGGGGTCCCTTTACCCTTTACCTTACTGAAGGTCAGTGGGTCAGTAACACTGGGTATTGGGGTGGAGAGGGGCAGTCCTATCTATCAATGCAACAGTGGTACATCAGGGGACTAAGCAGCAGCAGTGTCCCTCCACCACCAAGATGGGATGGGTCGAGGCAGTGGCCAGCTTAGGGGAGCTGTGGGTTGGCAGCAGCAGCCCCATATACCAAACCAGACCTAACTTGTCCACCCATTTCTCAATCTCTTCCCCCAAGTAGCTTGCACAGAATCAGCACTTTTGAGATCCAGAGACATGCCCTTGAGTACATTATTTGAAGTACAGTAAAAGAAACAACCACATCTTGCAACAGACAGTTTTCAAGCTGGTTTTGTTCTCATTTCCTTACCTGGTTTACACACGTTGCACCTTCTTCCGTGGTGATGAGGCAGACAAACACATTGTCCATTGAGCTGGTCACAAACTGTTCCTGGTCCTGTTCCCAGAGGATCACAGTCACAAATCTCACAGCCAAGAAAGTTCTGAGTAGTGAGATTGTACGTATGAGGCATGCACTGACTGCACCGAAGGCCTGTGACGCTAGCTTTGCAAGGACATTGTCCCGTTGATTTGTCACACAGCGAAGAGCCGTTTACTGTACCAGCCTTATCACAGTTACAGGGTAGACAGGCTAAGGAATCATTTTGCTGCACTTGGTAGTACCCATCTAAACAGTCACTACATCGCCTTTCCCCAAAGTTAGGCTTGCAGATACACTGCCCTGTGTAATGATCACACGCTGTACCAAAAACAGATCCTGCCATTTGACAGTCACAAGGCTTACATCCAAAAGCATCCAGCCCGTAAAAACCATCAATGCAAGCATCACAATGAAGTCCTTTGATATTTTCCTTGCAATTGCATTGACCAGTAGAAGGATTGCAGAAATTGTTCACAGACCCATGGATATTACACTGGCAAGGTTCACAACCATCGTTCTTTAAAGTATGAAGAAGTTTATATCCAAAGTTGCAGTGATCACATCTTAAACCTAAAGAAAGAAAGATCATCATTATAAATCAAATAAGGAAATTGAGCGGGGGGTGGGGGTGGGATATAAACTTTACATTGCTGAAATTCCACTGTAGAAATCCTTGAAATGGAAGAGACTAATAGGACATCTAGGCCAATTCCAATTCCAAACCAGCACAACTTACAACTCTGACCAGCTATAGAACTCAAACAGCAACACACCGTAAGTAGAAGAACCACAGAAAGGTGTCTAAAGAACAAATTCTAGCCAATTCAGGAAAGAAACCCATGTCAAATACATTTAACAGTCTAGAATAGAGAGTCAACAGCCAACAGGATCTGGGGAAAATTCCTTCCTGACCTAGAATACAGCTTGGCCAAGAACAAAATACAGTTCAAAGGATAGGCACAACTTACACATGAACAATGTCCCGTCTCCAGCAAGTACACCTGCAATCAATGATGAATCAACTCTCATATTAGGAACCAATTCAGCTGTGAATGCTAGGCTCAAAGACAGTGCATAAGCTGTGCAAGCAGGAGGTCTCAGATTTGGCCCTGGCCTCTTTATGTAGGGATAAAAAAGATGAAGACCCCAGAGAGCACTCAGTGTAGACAATAGTACTGATACAATACTGGGCTAGATGTGTCAGTGGTGTGATTTAGCATAAGGCATCTTTCTTTGATACTATTACAGTGGTACCTCAGGTTAAGTACTTAATTCATTCCGGAGGTCCGTTCTTAACCTGAAACTTTCTTAACATGAAGTACCACTTTAGCTAATGGGGCCTCCTGCTGTTGCCGCACCGCCAGAGCACGATTTCTGTTCTCATCCTGAAGCAAAGTTCTTAACCCGAGGTAATATTTCTGGGTTAGCAGAGTCTGTAACCTGAAGCGTATGTAACCTGAAGCGTATGTAACCCAAGGTACCATTGTACTATTGAATTCCCCACAATCTGTACACTTCACAAGGGCTTTGCTTAAACTATTGTGAGAGATCCCAATTTAACTCCTTTCTTAATCATGGTTAACAAACATCTGCTGAAGTTTACATATGCCTCTCCTTCCCCAGCCCAATTTTTACTGATTTTAAAGTAGACTGAAATCATGATTAATGCTGGGTTGTTTTTATATACATACATACATACATACATACATACATGTATAACCAAAACCAGTATATCAAGTCCACATGTTTTCTCCTTCCAAAGTCATGACTTTATGCCGCCTCAGGCATGGATTATGAGGGGTTTATGAACTTCTGATTTTCATTCAGGAATTGCATTGTTTCTAATGTATAAACTGCACTACCAAAAAAATTAAATCCAGAATATAATTTGAGAAATGCCAACCCACATTTATGCATCTCTCGCCTTTTTATGTAATGAAAATAAAATTATCACTACCCTGCCATTGTTTAACTGCACCATACAGTAAAATAAAATAAAATGGAAGTCCCGTGTTTTAACAAGTTCATTCTTTTTCCAAAAAAAAAGTTACATAAAAATACAAATATATATATTTAGAATCTCCTATGTAGAAAAAGCATCTCCCCAAACGGTGGAAAATACATTATATATGGATAAAAACTGGAGAACTCCAACAGACGGCAAGTTCCTTTAGCAGTGATGAATGGCTCACCTAAGGCATATCATTTAATTTCAATAAGGAAAATAAAAAAGGACCACTATTGCCGCAAATTTTAAAAATAACTGTATTGTTAACAAGAATTATGACTCATTTTGAACTATTAAAATTGGTCTACATGGATTCATATCATATCAGTTTTAAAAATATGCACCGTGCTTATTTGAATATGCCATACATATTCCTGACAGGTAATCTATTCCTAACGATACAGAGAAAGGCCTACAGGGCATCACATTCAATGTTAACAAGTACAGGGGAGTTAGCACGCTTGGCATTTAATTCACATTCTTCTCCCTTTTTTATTCTAGATGAATGACCTACTTTAATAAAATTATTGGTGCTAATGTATTTTACCAGTGATAGGATCATTAGTAAGATTTAACAGTTGTGCTAACTCTAACAGCTCATGCTCCATAACATTGCAGCACTTACTTACATTTTCTGTTATCAAGCTTGTTTAAACAGGCACAATGACAATGGACTCTAAGGTTACTAGTATATCCAATTGTTGTTGTTTTTGAAAGTCAGCACATATATTTAAATAGCTGCACATGCTGAATACATAGCATTTCAGTATCGCTATTTTGTTCAGTAGTAAAATGGCAGCCCAGTTCTCATTATATGGGTATTTGGGAGGCACTATTATATAGTATATACAGATGATGCAAGCATGAAGTTTCACCTTCTATGGAAGTAAATAAGAAATCCCTACTTGTCCAAGAGCTTTGGATCAGCCTTCTCTGATGAAGGAATAAAATGTACATAGCTGAATCAGAATACAATGCCTCTGCTAGAATTCATCTTCACTCCTGTTAATAAAGTGCACGTCTACAGTCTGAAGTGGAAAAACTGAAAGTTGGGTGGAAATAAAACTATTTTCCAGAGCTTTTCTTCCAGAATGTGTTAACCACTTTCAACATTTTCAAGTAGTATTGTTCTGTAGCTGACTCATGCTGCTGCAATCAAATACTCAGCGCAAAAGTAGTACTAACAATAACTTTTCTGTGGCTTTTGGTTGGGTTACTCAATACTACACTTTAAGACATCAAGGAAGCAACATTATACCAAATCAGACCACAGGTCCATCTAGAACAGTAGCAAACTGAGAGCAGCTCTCCAAAGTTTCAGAAAGGCGCTTTCCTCAGCCCTACCTGAAGATACCAATGATTATTTTAATCTAAGACTTTCTACATGCAAATCATGAGGTTTAGCACTGGTTTCCCTGACCAGCTAACTATGACCAAAAAGTTTCAAGTGTTTCAGATTACCAAACACTTTCATGTGTTCCTGAAACAAGAGTGGAATCTGGGAGTCTGCCTGAGTACAGATCTTGCAACATGGTGGCAAGGTCCAGTAGAGCCTCTAATTCCTGTTATTTCAAATTCCTCCAGTATCGGATAGTAGTGACAGTGCTTATCTGACCTCTTGGCAAGGGAACAGCTGCTGCTTACCAAGAGTACGAGTGGGAGGACCAAGGTGGTGGAGAGGTTTGGTGCAAACACACTGGCAGGAGCACCATGATGGCTCTATCTATGTTGCACTAACATCCCTGCCACTCTCCACTCTTTCCTTCCCAGTAAGAAGCAGCGCCTCTGCTGCCAGGAGGTCAGGTAAGTGCTGCCTGCTGGCCCACTTTGCCATTGCTACTAGATTCCTCCATCTTCTGCATCAAGCAAAAGAAACCAATGAATATTTGAAAATATTCAGTCAAAGACATAAAGATTAAGGAATAAATTAGCACACAAAGTGTATGGTAGAAAAAGAAGAAGAAGAGTTTGGATTTGATATCCCGCTTTATCACTACCCTAAGGAGTCTCAAAGCGGCTAACATTCTCCTTTCCCTTCCTCCCCCACAACAAACACTCTGTGAGGTGAGTGGGGCTGAGAGACTTCAGAGAAGTGTGACTAGCCCAAGGTCACCCAGCAGCTGCATGTGGAGGAGCGGGGAAGCAAACCCGGTTCACCAGATTACGAGTCTACCGCTCTTAACCACTACACCACACTGGCTCTCAAAGTACTGGTACTCAAAGCGCACATACCAAATCAGTAGCTATAGACACTTAGTCTGAGTAGATAAACTTAACATCTCCTATCATTTTCAGTGATATATTATTTACTGAGAAACAGGATACAATTTAAAAATAAGGGTAAATTTACCTAATATGAGATCACCATGTGAATAACAAAATAAGTTTGAACTGCTCAAAGGTATTATGAAGTGTGACTGAACATCCAGCTATATCACTACTCCCTAATTACATGTCAGAGATGCTTAGTTTTCTGAACCTTTCCCCTATCACTGTGGGTGTCTTTTGTCTTGTGCTAAGAAAGTTGTAGATGATGTACCTGTTCTTAAAATAATAAAGGAAGATTAGAGTCTACAAGAAAGTATTGCATATATTTCACACACACACCCCAAATCATTTTTTTCCTGATAATAATGTCTCCTCCATCTCTACCCAACCCTGGTTTTCAGGAAATTTTATATCTCTACATTTGACTAATTATGCCATAGTACTCAGTGAAACCAATGAATGATGGGAATCCTCTGCTGAATTTTGGTTAGTTCCATGAATGGAATGCACCATTCATTGGATCCAACACATTCCATGGGAGATTATATGGAATTGTTACTTTCTCTGAACACAGAAAAAAGCAATTGCATGAAAGCTTGGGGGGGTGGGGGGGTGAAGAGTCAAACATGCAACCCACAACCTACAGCCTAGAGCGGTTAGGTCCAGAATAAGCTATATCACTAGATGCTGTTGATTATCCATAAATTGCACAAGTCCCCTGGGAATCAATGAAATTAAAGAGTAGTTAAACATGTTTGCCCATAAGATTTCTCCATAAAATAGGTCTTAATAATGGGAAAGCTTTTTTTACACTTAAACACATTTAGCATCAATACATGGCACAGTTATTTCTGCAATGAAATGGTGTATAAATAGATACTAAAATACAAAACATTACTTTAAAAGCACATGTCTGGGGCATGTACAGTTATGACTCAGAGTTCCTTTCATCAAGAAATTTTCCTTGCATAATATTCTCATACATCAACATTTCAAAGTGTATTATATGCACTGTATATTTTGGGTGTTTGATAAATTTTGTCCTTACATAGATGTGGCTCCCCTCAAATATGCTGGAAGTAATAAATTGCTATAATCAAATCTAATTTCTGGAAAATACCTGTGGGAATAGCAAACAAAAAAGCACGTCTTGTTAAAAAAATGATAAATAACGCTGAAGGTAGTAGTTTATTATAATCAACTTGGCATTGAATTACAAAATTAAAATTATGTGGCCCTTGATAACTAACCCTAGCAATGTGTAAGATCTGTAGAATTATGTTGACATTTTGCATTTCATAGGAACAGTTCAAAGAATTATAATGGAGGGGGGGAATGAAAAGATTTATCACAAAGGACCCTGTAGCGCAGAATATTTTTGAGGAGAAAAATCCATTTATTTTTGTCTGTTAAGGAAACTGACATAGAAAGTATTTTGCTTAAAACTCATTAAGTTTATAGCATCATGCAAAAAGTGCTGTTTTCCTGAAAGAATCATTTGTGGCAGCAGTAAGCAAATTATATTATTTCTGTCCTTTATTATTACAAAGTGATAGGTGCTTCTGTAACTACTAAAACCTACTAAATGTAGAATAACCCAAAGAGCTGATTATACTTAGCTTTGAGCTGTAATTGGGTAGGATAGATAAATAAGCAACTGCATATTATTTAGTCAGTTTTCCGTTATTTCTCATGAAAAAGAATACATTTCACCTGATGTGTTTAAAAAAGAAAGAATGAAAAGGTTTGGAGCATGTTTTTTATTTCTAATTTGTAGACAAAAGAAAGATATCTGACTGTAGATTATTGCCTTGCACCTACCAATAACATTTTCTTTACACTTGCACTGGCCTGAATTTTGGTGACAGGTAATATCTCCATTGACTGTCCCAGAGGTATTGCAGTTACAGGGGCTGCAGCCATCAGGGTCTGACTGCTGTAGATTGTAGAATCCATCCTGGCACTGATTGCACTGTCTGCCAGACACATGTCTCTTACAATTACACTGACCTCCAATCTAAAAAGATACAAAAAGAAAAATGTTGAGGAATGATGAACTTATCTTTTCCCCCCACCCACCCTGATAAACACTCATTAGCAACATAGGTGGGTTGGCAGGTTGGACAATCTTTAAGTGGGAACAGGGACAAAATAGGCCTCCATAGTTTATTCTCTAGCAGTTAACTCACCATAAAATAAAACTATAGAAACGGTGAGAATAAAAATTCATTAGAATGACTTTAAGGAAGAGAGCACACTTTTGGAGGAGGAGGAGAAGGAGGAGGAGGAGGAGAAGAAGAAGAAGAAGAGGTGGATGATGATGAGGAGGAGGAGAACATTGATGAATATGAATGGATCTAGTATCAAACATAAACTGGACACAAAGCATGCAAAATCGCCACCAAGCACACAGAACCACAAAACAGGCTTTCTGCTTTCAAGGAGTTCCAGCTCCAGGTTTGGTCAGACTCTGTTCTGATTTCACTTCTTCACCATTGCCCATTTGCATGTTTTCACCCTCTAAACCCCACCCACACCACTGGCTGGAAGGAAAATGCAAATCAAGTCAAGGGGCTGCTTACATTTGTCACTGCTTTAATCAGAGGTGGGAAACCTTAGGCCCAATGTCTCCCGCCAGGCCTCTCTACCTGGCCCGTTGAACTCTTCCCAGATGCACCCTCTCTCCCCAGGCCACCCACTCACTGGCCCTGCTTCACACACCCCTTGGGTGTTTTTAATAGACTAGAACACATCCTTGAACTATGACTATGCATTTTGGAGGTTAGAGGGAAGGGTGTGAGTAGACAGTGATCTACTGTACAAAGGTGAGGTTATTATTCTTTGCCCCACCCACTCTACTTTTTGGAGTCAAGAGCAGAAAGTGGGTGGGGCAATAATTTCACCTTTGTACAGTAGATAGTGGCCCACCACTGGCATATGGCCCTGGAAGGTTGCCCAGAAGAGACAATAGAAAGGATCAGAGCCAGGTGGTTCAGGGGGATGGCAGTGGTGCGTGCCCAGTGATTCCAGCTCTTTACATGCACACTGTTTTCAAGACACCTTTATTTGAAATGTATTATGCAAAGATCACTCCCTGTAGTAGTAGTGACAGTGATAACTGTCAACAAAGTTTCGGTTTTGTATGTTTAGGCATTTGCTAAGTTATTTGTTACTTCTATTCTAGCTTTTAATAATATTAGATTATTAAGCTTTATTGACTCTATTTTGTGAAGAAAGTTTCCTTACAAAGTGGGCTATAAATATGTTAAACAAACAAACAATCAAAAACAATGAAGCAAAAATGAGGCCAGTGAGAGTTTGCTGAAGTATAAATCATTTTAATGCCCAGCTGAATCATCTTACAGCTTCTTATAATATTATGAAGGAAGGCTTGTATAATTGGAGAGGAACACCACTACTGGGAAGTGAAAATAACAGAGCAGCTTTTTGTTAGTTATGTTCCATGAATGTTGTGCAAGGTGGCAAAAGACTTTTTACAGTGCAGTGGCATAATGTATTGGGGGTGGCATTATGAGAAACACCAAGAATATCAGCAGTAAGTGAACTCGGGTGCATAGTACATAAGCTTGTTTGTATAATTTGCTTTTCTCGAGCAATGCTCTTCTGCTAGGTCACAGCATGATATACTTTCTAGCAGCACCCCTCTTTGGTTCCAGACCTGAAAAATGAGGCTTATGACACACAGTCCAACACAAAAAATCCAGTCTGTCCCCAATGAAGAAGTCACCTCGCCCACAAGAAAGTTCAGCACAACAACGGATAGAGTTAGAATGGGGTCGTTAGCTAGCATTAAATATTATCTCTGTACTTTATATTTACTTCACAGTGTCTGTGATATACAGAGGTGCACCTAGTCCCCCTTGCCTCCTTGCCAAAGAGCTGTATGCCTCCAAAGATGGGAGAGACCATGGACCAGAAACTCAAAGAGTTTGCTTTTCACCACCTCTTGTCCTCTGCCAGTGACTTCCTGCCTCCTGCACTCCCTCCACTTGCTGCTTTCCCTTCTGCGTCCTCCCTCCCTCCCTTTTCTCTCCTTTTCCCTCCTCCTGCAGCTCTCACCCACTCCCTCTGTCTTTCTTCTGTCGGAGCCCCACTGAGCACTCCACTCACATTTCCAATAGTGCAGCCGGCTGAGTGCTGTGATGACCCAGGCCAGCAACCAGATTCCTCCATCAAGGTGCCCAGAGAAGTCTGCGAACATCACTGGGCTGCCCAGAGCAGCAGAGGAGCAGCCCAAGGAGCGTGAAAATGGGTGCCCTTCTTGCTATGGCACCGTTCCATGCTATGATATGGTACATGGCCATGAACATAGCCAGGATTTTTGTAGGTGGGGCAGAACCTCAGTTTGCAATGTATTTTTATTGAATTTTATTGATATAGGGCAGGCAGCTGCCCCTCTTCCCCCCCCCCCAGGCTACATCCATGTACATGACAGTTCATGAGAGAGCAGTTCCAACAGTGACATTCCACCTCCAAAATGCACTCCTCTTCAATGCAATCAGCATCTACACTAATTGACTTTTGACACCCAGTAAAAATACAGCTATTCGCCCGAGCATTTGGCTAAAGTGATGCCCCTTATTTGGCTGGAGTAGTTATGTGGTTAGCATATTGTTTGATTTTATATTAAGTTGCATTTTGAAATACTGTTTTATTGTATTTTAATGTTATTCCTTGATCTGGAATTGTGTGATATGTACAGTATAGAATTGCACTCTTTTCTAGATTGTGCCTTAAAAAGAAGACAATGTCATCAAGGCAGTTTTGCCACTGCAAAAGAACCACTTCCTCCTCTAAACCAACTTTTTGTGGGGTGGTGTGTCCCCCCCCCCAATCCACAGGATAAGAACTTGTGATTGTTCTCTTCCGGAATCCTGCATCTTCGTTTAGCCTAAATGACAGATAACTGGTTCTGTATAGGATAGCATTGATAAACTGCTGGGAATGGTAAATTATGCAGAGAAAGTGTATTGTGGCCCATTTTTAACACATTTCCTTGAAAATTATCCTTGTGACGTGACAATTAATTTTCATGAGCCAAGGCCTTATTCCTTATGATTCCATCTTCCTTGGGTCAGACCTGGAAACACTCCCTTCAATAATGCCTTTCTATTTCATGTAATTCATTTCAGCCCATACTCTCCAGCCTTATTAATCTATTTTTTAATGCCTCTTAATCATTTTGTTCTACCTTGCTCCTTTTGCAGCAGTCTATTGATGCCTTATTGAGCTGTACAGTTCAACCCATTTTTCCTTATTTTCTTTTTTATATTATCTTGATTTTCGACTCATTTCTCAGTCTTAGCCATCGCTAAATTTCTGGCCATCCAAAAACAAAACACCCTACTTTGCCACCTTGAAGCAGAACGGCTTACCATTAAATTGCTGTCAGCGCTGAAAAACTGCCACTTGAAACAAGAAATCTCAAAATTGGCATTTAAATTCTCCCCTCCCCTCTCTTCCCCATTCTTACCATATCATGCGACTTTCAAATTGTTTCTGGAGTTGTGCTATTGGCCAAAAATGTATCATTATTAGAGGCAGGAAATCAGACCCTCTGCTTTAGACTATTGTCACTATTTTAATAAGTACAGGGCTCTAGGATTTCACATTTCTTTTTGCCAGCCTAAACCCCAAGCTAGCAATGAGCTCTTCACAGGTAGAAGATATCAAATCTTGCTGTGCTCACAGAGCCTCTTGAAGGATCAAAGCTACCAATAAAAGAATGTCCCCAGTGAGCATAAAAACAAACATGAAATGACAGAAAAAGCCACAAAACGTTACTGGATAAAAGGATTTTTCATCATTGCACCAATGAAGAAAGTTTAGTGTCAGGCAAGAATACAATAAGGGAATTGGGTTTGGACTGATCCAGCTCTCAGCCAAAGGCAGGATTTTCTACACATTTCCCTGCTCTTTTGAAAGAAATGGATTTATTACTGCACTATATGTTTTTGCTTGCAAATGAAAGCAGTGACTTAAAATAATTGGTACCATTTTGGCTTTTTAAGATAAATTTCCTCTTGTAAATAAAGTAACAAATTTGTGGTCATTTGTGTGTGTCCGCTCTCCAACTCATCCTTAGCCTGGCATTATTGTCTAACAGTTCTTCACATAATCACATAATGAAGGCAGCCAGTCTGCACGTGTGAACTGCTCTGTGTCTGCTGAAAGTTTCAAAAGGCTTCAGGCAACAATTTAGCAAGTGGGAAGGTGGTATGGGCTACATAAATTGATTTACTTTTTTTAAAAAATAGTGTTCTTATCGTATATTAAGGCATTTTACAAATTGTTTTTCATATTATTATCATACTTCTTCAGTCTTTGGAGATATGGTGATCTAGATAACAGAATCACAAAATAATTTCATAAGTCCTATGTGAATCTGCCACTATTTTGGGAAAGGATTCCTTTCTTTTTAAAAACTTTAAATGTTATCTATCCATGAATTATTATAAGTCACATTAGTGCCAACAGCTGCCAGTAATAACAAGTATGATGATTTGTTGTACCTGCAAGAAAACCCCTGTGCAGGATTCCAACCACTCTATTCAATCTCCAGTTTTCACCCACACCCAACCAGTCAGCATTTCATGGCAAATTATAGAATCATAGAATCGTAGAGTTGGAAGGGACCCAAGGGTCATCTAGTCCAACCCCCTGCAATGCAGGAATTTCAGCTAAAGCATCTTTGATAGATGGAATGTTCAGTCCTTATTTGGATGGTTTTGGGCTCCCCTACCCTCATTTTTCATAAATGTTTTTTGTACTTTTCCATTTCCAAGGCTCCCCAAGCCTGCTAACACCTCCCTCTTGTGCATGGGTGTTGTTTTGGCTACATATGCAATGGTACTCATAGCCTGAATATTGGGAATATAGGGTAACATTCTAGGTTAAACCCACCTACCTTATTGCATTGGTGGCTACTGTTTTTGGTGCCTGCTACGTCGCATTTGCAAGGATTGCAAACATCCACGGATGAGAGATCTGCATCTACATACCGATAAAAGAAATCTTTGCACAGCTCACAATTTCTTCCTGCATGGAGGAAAGGTTATGCATTATGGCTTCCAATTCATTAAAATTAGCTGTATAATTCAAAATTAAAGACTATTCCTTTGAGGGAATTCTATAATTTTCAGGACGTCCATTTTAATGCACCTTTCATCTCTACCTGCCAATTTAGTGATCCAGAGCATATGAAACAATGAACCTGTTACAAACTGTGTTTTACTCCATTAAACTTCCATCTGTTACATAACACAACACTCCTATAAAGCTATTCTGTATGAATATATATTCTATACTTAAAAAAGAGAAATTACTCTTAAACATCCAACTTTCCCTACCATCCTTAAGGAGGAAAGCCAAGAGTACTAAAGGAAGCGTCCCAAAACCACCACAAATATAGCATGTGGAATTAGAAATTCAGCAAGTATGTTCTATTTTAATACATTTTAGAGTGAAGCAAATCAACAAACTAAATGACTTAGCAGACATGAGTTGTGGAGAGGCAGAGTTCTGCTAAACTTCTTTATTCAAAATATTTGGGCTTTGCTTCTACTTGAGACAAACCACAAGACATTTTGCCAGCCAACCATATGCATTGGCTAATGCATCCAATAGGGAACTTGTTTCCAGTGCTTGATGGCCCTGAAAGACTGTAAATTCTGTTAGTACACCAGGTACTATGTTTTACAGTTGATTCCCTGGCTAAAACAACAGTCTCAATGTGAGGGCAAAATAGTTTCTGGGGCACATTGGCTCTTATGCAAGCACAAGATCTTGAAACATTTGATAATGATAGGGGATCCTAGGTGCCTAGCCGGAGTTATATGAAGTTTTATGATGGCTGACTAATGGTTGTTTTAAGTTGTTTATAAATTGTTATATTATTTTATGTTGTAAGCTGCGCAGAGCTCCCTTTCAGGAGGAAGTGTAGGACAATAAAAGGACAATAAATAAAGATATTGCACCACTCCATCAGCTGCTCCTGTTCCTGTTTATTCATGACCTGATGGGCAAGAGCTCTCCAGGTTTTCAGGCAGGAGTTTTTTCCAGGCCTACCTACTGGGGATTGAACCCAGGACTTTTGATAAGCATCACATGTGTCCTACCTGTGAGCTACCACTCTTCCCTGCTGCATTACATTACATGTAAAGTGTGCTAATCTGGTGGGAAGATCATAGGCATCAGGGGTATCATGCACCCAGCCTGATACACACGTTGGCTTGTATTAAGCATACTGCTAAGGCTAAGATTTCATCAGCACAAGGTTGTTCCTTGAGCAAAATAAACTTTCCTCTACCCTCGTGCCCCCTAATTCTGTTCTGGAGGTTCCCGCAAACCTCCAGTGTAGATTTGGGAATGGCACACCCCCATTGTGCTAGCAGGAATCCTCCAAGGGCTTCTGCTAGTGCAACTGGTTAGCTGAATATCCCCCACTGTGTTATGTGGGGTGTGTTCATATCCCCTTTTCCAACCATGTGAACCAAACAGCCTTGGAACTTTATTTTATATAAAGTTTGCTTGATTCTATAATACATGCAGATAGTGCAAACCAATCTCATTTTCCTGGTCTGATATGTAGCATGGAAATTTCTTTACAATTCAACCTCAGATGTAATGATGCTTTGGAATGACTGCAAGAGCCAACCACCATGGATATATTCTGTTCTGTTAATTACCTGTGGTGTTATGTTGACAGTTATCACAGACTCCGCCACCTCCTCTATAGTGTTCATTAGGAAAAGAATCCATTGTCCTGTTGTAGTGACAGCTTATTGCATGGCCGTAACATTGACAAGGCTTGCAATTATAAGCATGAACTTGATCTCCAGGATGAAAAGGCTTGTCATTGTACAGTGGCCAACAGTGATCGCACTGGAACAAATGGAGAATAATAAAGAGATTATGGTTCAAAATGTCTACATAGGTACAAGTTTATACACCTTCACTGTGTGCTCTGTGTTGTGTGCTGCAATTTTTAAAAAGATACAACAGAGGAGAAGACATGCACAAAACACCACTCAAGAAACTCCTACAAAATTTACAGTGCAACCCTAAGCATGTATACTCACAGGGCCATCTTACCCATAGGCACTAGGGGTGCGGGGCACCCGGGCACTGGGCTCCCAGGGGTGCCCAGCCAAGAGTCCAGGGCCTGAAAGTTGCATCCAGGGAAGAGCCTGCCCTTTGATCAGAGCGCCACGGCAGGCTCTTCTGCTACGGGCGGCTCTGCACCGCGAGTTCAGGGGCAACCAAGCCAGTGAGATGCTGAGGCAGCCGGCCCGCTCTGCCCTGCTGCGTGCCTGGGAATGGGTAACCTGGAGGGGGGGTGCCAGGCAGACCTTTGCACCCTGGCGCCGCTTATGCTTAAGACAGCCCTGTATACTCAGAAGTAAAACCCACTGAATTTGATGGTACTCGCTCCCTAGAAAATGATCTATCAACTTTAGCATTCGGCTCTGATCCAGAGGACAACATATGAAGCTTTGGCATGGAATCCTGACTCCGAGTGTTTCTCATACAACTGATTCAGGTAACAGACTTATTGATTTTGAACTTAAGACAGCTCAACAATGTCATAGTGAGCATCAATCTGAAGTTATAAAAACCTCAAGGGATCTTTTTAGATATGGCACTTTTGGCTGTTGACATACCATCGAAACTATTCCACATCAGCATGTTTGCAAACAATGCATGCTCTATTAGAGTGCATTTACTCAATACGTTATTTTTCCTGTAGTAAGACGCCCATTGTTAAGCACCCCTTATTTTTTTTAACAAAATAGAAATCACTATGGCACTATCCATGTATAAGATGACCTCTTATTTTAAACTTCAAAAATTTGGGGAATAATATAGTCTTATACACGGAAAAATACAGTAAACCATTCACAGGAGCCTACAAGCCTGCAAGTGAACCTGCAGTCAATGAAGAACTAAAGATTACATGAATGTTGGGTGGAATTCAATTTTGCGCAACATCAGGAAGAGAGAGGGGAAAGCCCATTTGCACAAATGGAAGCCCTTGCTTCCCATCCCCAGTGCCTCCATGTGGAACCTATACACACAGCTGTTGCAATTTGTGCAACTCCATAAGGATGCTTGAGGAATTCAATCTTTGCAAATTCTGGTACAAGCTGACCTGGATCCACACCTCCTGAACTAATGTGTAGATTATATTGCTGCCTGAAACACAAGAGTGCATGGGAGTTGCCCAAGGAAAGTTCCAGATGCATTATGCATGTTTGGCCTAATATCTGATTGCATTGTATGAGATTGGAGGCCACAATGCTGCTAAAGTCAGCTGACAGAATCCAGAAAGGAGCCGCAACTGATTACAAAAACCAGCATTTCCCTTTGGTATTCACTCTTGAAAACAGAGTATTTTAGAGCTAGTTATCTGATCAAACTTCCTTAAGAAATGTCTGTATTGAGCTGGGTTTCCAGTCTTGGATGGCCACTACAACAAGGTCCTGTACACAGACAGACATTGTATTTATAGTCTACCTCAGGTGGAAGACATCACTCATCTGTTGGCCTGCCCTTATAGACCCATGAGATCACATTCTGAAACCTTTGTTTCACACAAGCAAGCAGGTATACTACACAGCAATGATCTGTTTTCTTTTGAGTGACAACAATAGCTTTATAACACACAAAGTGGCTCTCTATACACTGGCTGCTAATAATAATAATAATCAGGAAAAATGAGTTGGATAAAATCAGTATAATTGCTGTGGTGATTCAGATGTTTAAGTTGAAATCAAGCTGAATTTGTGTTTGCTGGTATCTCTGGTAACCTCTCTTACATCACGGATGTTGCCTCATATTATGGATGTATGATTTGTATTGTTTTATTGGTACTTATATTGACTGATTGATTGACACTAAAATATTTCACACTAGTTGCTTAGATTCCTTTTATAAACAAAAGCTTCAGCGGCAAAGTATATCACTATTAGTAAAACACTCTAGTTGGAGTTTAGATACTGGGAAAATTATAATTATAAATTGATTGTAATATTAATAATAAGGTAAAGGTACCCCTGCCCGTACGGGCCAGTCTTGCCAGACTCTAGGGTTGTGCGCTCATCTCACTCTATAGGCCGGGAGCCAGCGCTGTCCGCAGACACTTCCGGGTCACGTGGCCAGCGTGACAAGCTGCATCTGGTAAGCCAGCGCAGCACACGGAACGCCGTTTACCTTCCCACTGGTAAGCGGTCCCTATTTATCTACTTGCACCCGGGGGTGCTTTCAAACTGCTAGGTTGGCAGGCGCTGGGACTGAACGACGGGAGCGCACCCCACCGCGGGGATTCGAACCGCCGACCATGCGATCGGCAAGTCCTAGGCACTGAGGTTTTACCCACAGCGCCACCCGCGTCCCTAGAATTATATTAATATTATTAACAGTAAAATAAATTTCCAATTTGATCTACAGAACTGTTAATATTAAGACTGTAGAAATATTTATCTATTAGAAGTCCCTGTGGTTATATTAGAGGTCACATTCACTAACTTTTGGTGCTTTGCTAAAACCAGACAAGTAGGAAGAGTATAATGCCTTGTAATGATCCTTCCATCATTCAGAAAGGGAGGCTAAATTATTCAAATAAATTGTCCTCTACAAATTATTCATTGAGCTTTGCTATTCTTAAACCATGTCTTCCTGTACTTTCCAGCTTCAGCTTCAAGGCTAGACAAAGCTTGGACTAGACAACCCTTGATCCTTGAACCAGAGCTGGAGATTTTTGTTGTTCATAGAATCAGCACTAATGTGCATAACCAAAGTTTCTCCCCCTCCCAGTGGTGACTTTTATGAGGTGAGGACAGTGTCAACAAAGCTATCAGAAGTCTTCAGATAGTGCAGGAACTGTCATTAGCAACTGGCCTGCTTCAGATTTTAAGCTCCATTATAAACATATTTCTATGGAAATATCTTCTTGAGGCCCTGTATTTTCATAAAAATTGATGTGTGGCCATCAGTACAGAACCTTCTCAACAATGTGCCATGGTTGCATGAAGACCCTCAGCAGAGAGACCATCAAGCCACCTTGCTGCTTCAGTTTAGATGTCTTGTGAAAACATTTATATTTATTTGCATAGCATTTTTAAATACTGATTGGATTAGTTCCTGTTGTTGCCATTGTTATATTTAGATTTTTAGATTTTTAAAGTGCTTCCTCCAGCATGGAGGCAGTAACCATGTGAAGAGTAACACCCTTAGGGCACAACTGTTCCCTCTCTTCTTCCTCAGGAACCCATTTTAAATAAGCTAGAGGGATCTCTACATTGAGCCACTGAACCAGAGTCAGTTCTGCAACACAGAAAGCTACCAAATCCTCTTGGTCACCGTACTTCTTACTAACCTAAATAGGAGCCTGTTTAATTTGCTGTCACTATTCCAGCTTGCTCTTTTTGAGATAACTCTGACAACTTCAATTTTAATTGGCTATTTGAAACTAAAATCTCATATGGATTTTCATCAGCTCAGCAAAATAAATTGTATTCCTGTGGGATAACAACCAAGTTTTTTTTGATAATACAATGGCTCCTTCACAATTCTGTGTATTACCTGGTTGTCTAGGCATCTGTCTTAGGATATTCGAGACAGCACCTTGCTATTTCAACAAATACTTTCCACAAATTATTTTAGAAATCTAAGATCTATGGCCTGTGAAATTAAATCTGTTTGCCAAGGATGAGTTCATGGACAAACCCATCACTACCACAGGCATCTTGAGAAAGTTATTCAGAATTTTCCAGCTTGTAAAATTTCCAGCTTCATCCAGATAGCTTTCCCACCCACCCCGTTGCTGTGTGTCAAAACTAGTCAGGGGAATCAATTTGAGGATATTTCATTTTCATTCATGCAGAATATATATGCTTCTTCTGATGTTCTGGTTAAGGTTGTTGTGAATGAAGGCAAAATTAAATGGAATTTCATTTTAAAATCCATAGTAACCTGTCCCAAGGTATGCTATAAATTTAAAGGGGAAAAATCAAGTTAGGGTGAAATATTCTCACAGTTTGCTGCATAAATATTAAACTGGTGTTAAGTTAGTCTTTGAAGATGTTAGATGGATTTTGCTATTACTGCTTTTTAAAGCTAGTTTTCAGCAGTTCTATATCATAGGTGAAAGTGAATTTGAAGAAAACAAGCTTATGAAAGTGTCTAACCTATCATTCTCTCTACCAAGTGTATATCTCATCTCTCTCTCTCTCTTAAACCTACATCATCTGCCCCAAGACTATAGAAAAGAAATAAAGCAAGCACTGAAAGGTGCTATCGTGTGTGTGTGTGTGTGTGTGTGTGTGTGTGTGTAATATTAAAATGAAGCAGATTGCCACTTTTCCCATCAAACTTATTTTTATTTACTTATAAAAGTACTGTATTAACATATCGGCCTCTCACAAAATACGAGGGTGGTGCATATGAAAGAAGTGCAAGTTGTTATGCAATAAGTTCCATAGGGTGGAGGTCTGAGCATTCAGTCATAAGAGCCCTACTGGATCAAGCGAGAAACCCATATAGTCCATCATCCTGTTCTCACAAGTGGTCCGTAAGTAGAACCTGTGCACAATACCAATCTCTCCACTTGTGAATCACAGCAACAGGTTTTCCCTGGTTCTTTTAGCAGTTCTGCAACGTCTTATTCTTCCCACTCAACCACCTATCCTAATACCTGAAGGTCAGTGGGACTGAGCAGGTAACAGCAGCGGAAAAACGGGACTTTTACTGCATTGTGTCAGTTGAAGCAATTTCATAAAACTGATCTTATTACGCTATGCAATAAAGGAAACATGTACAGTGGTACCTTGGTTGTCAAACTTAATCCATTCTGGGAGTCCGTTCGACTCCTGGAACAGTTCAAA